CTATTTTAAAATTGAGAATCGATTCTAGATTCGATTAACGATTAATTCGATTAACATAGAATCGATTCCCACCCCTACACGGCTGATCCTGGGGGTTTGGGTCAAACTCCCGACAAAAATTGACTAACACTATGCTAACCTAACCCTAATGCGGGCTAATCTGTCGGGATTCTGTTTGTCGTGATTTTGACCGGCTTCCCTTCCTCTATGGCCTTCACGTCTTTTATTTATAATTTTTAGAACATTTAAATGTATCTGCCTATTAATTCCTTTTATCCCATTAATCTATTTAAACTACCTAATCAAATTTTCCCTACTAATCTCTTTAATTCCATCAATTCGTTTAGTTGGATGAGACTAATTGACGTGTAGAGGGCAGCTTGGAATCTGGGTTCGAGGATAGGTCAGGATAATGTTCATGCAACTAATAACTACAACCTAAACTAACTATAACCCCAATAGTGGAAGGCGTTGAAAGAGGTCGTGAAAGATTTGGTCCGGGTTTTATCAGGGTCAAGGTCAGTTTATATTATTGGGGGGTAATTGAGGATAAGAGAATGTGATATCGGGGCTTTTTGGAGTTATTAGGCAAAGGATTTATTCCCCAAACTGAGATGATTTTATTGAAGCAATTTCGGGTCACTTATAACATAATTTTTACTAATACAGGATAACAGAAATAAAGAAAAACATAAGGAAAAGAGAAATTAGGGAAATCCGGGAGATTAGGGAAATCCAGACTAGGATTTCTAAGATTTGCTGGATCTGACATACTATGCATAAAAATCTTAAGACTTGAAATTGTCAAGGTTTAATGAGATATGCTTTGACATTACACTAAGGTTTCTTTGAGACTTATTCAGGTAATTATTGCTGATATTTTCTTTCTTTTTTCTATCCAAATTTTTTTTCTCATAATTTAGAAATCTTGAGAATCATCATTATAAGCTCTTGTAAGTAAGTAATTTGTTTCTTTCTCATAGTAAGATATTGAATTTAGATATGATATATTTTGATATTGCTTTTTTCAAGACTTATGTAGCAAGTAATATAGATGTTTCTTTCCTTATTTCTATTCAAACTCTGGTTATTTGAGTTCAATTTTATTAAGTCAAAAAATTTGATTAATAAATAATTCTACAACCTAAGAATCTTGTGATTCATTATGGTTTTAATGTTTTTTATTTTTGGTAATAAGATTTTACTTATTATAATAATAAGATATGATTTAATACTGTTTAGTATAATAGCAATTTTGACTTGACTTCTACAAGTTCAATTTTTTTTGGCTTTTGCTAATTCAAACTTTAATTTAATTTCTTTAGGAGTTAATATTAGATACTAATGATCTAGTCTAAATTTATTTTAATATTAGATTTTACTAGTTGAAATTTGAAAAAATAGTACTAAATCAGCAAATATTTAGCAAACATTCAGCATACCATTCGGCGACCATTCAGCAAACATTCAGTAAATATTCATATGCCGTTTGGTACAATTGCTACTACTCGGCATTCAAAAATGCTGAGTGGCAGTGATTATACCAAATGGCATCCGAATATTTACTGAATGTTTGCCAAATGGTCGCTGAATAGTATGCCAAATGTTTGCTGAATGTTTGCTGATTTAGTACTGTTTTTTCAAATTTCAACTAGTGTTTTAGACTGAGTTATTTCTAGATTATAAATATGTTACAAATTCTAAATTAGAAATTAGCAGACATAGTTAATACTAATAATTTTTTTTCTATTTAAGTATTAATTCTAAATTTGTTTAAAAGCTTTTGTTAGATAATTTTCTATTAAACTCATTTAATAAATCTGTTTATATAGTACTAATAAGTTACAGAGTATATTAGCTACTAAATTGTAATTATATAATAGGATTACATATAGTATATTGCAAATATCTAATTTTTTATAAGTATAGTTAGATTAGTATTTCTAGATTTAGTTTAATTTAGATTCATAAATTAGATTTATTGAATCTAAACTAAATTTCAAATTTGTAGATTATTAAACTTAAACTTGAACTAAACTTAAAATTTATAAACCTAAACTGAATTTGAACTTAAAATTTGGTTCAGTTCAGATTTAGTTCAAAGTTTATGAATATATTCAAATTCAATATTATATATTTATTTGTTTATATATTATTAAATAGGAAATTTATCTCTTCTAGAGTTTTTAGAGACTGCTGATTATAGTATAAAGATTATAACTTTATTGTTTGTTATATAATATCTAGAAATAAGACTTAATAAAGAGATTTTTATAATAAATTATATTAGAGTTAAAAGGCAAATAATAATAGTATATAAAGATATACTAGTTGAAATTTGCAAAAATAGTGCTAAATCAGCAAATATTCAGTATATTACTCAGCAAATATTTAGTAAATATTCAATAAATATTTAGTTACTATTTGGTATAATCATTGCTACTTGGTATTCACAAATACCAAGTAGTAGCAATTATACTAAACAATAACTAAATGTTTATTGAATATTTGCTGAATGTTTGCTGAATTGTATACTGAATGTTTGCTAATTTAGTATCATTTTGCAAATTTCAATTAGTGATACTAAGTATTATATCTTTATTGAGAATTGTATAAAAACAAGACTACTTTACTTTAAAGACAGAAAAGCAGTATATTTATAAAGAATTTACATGTATAAACTATTACAATAAAGATAAATTAAATCAAAATAACTATACTAAATAATAATAAATAAAATAATCAAATAATATCAGATACTCTTTCTATTGATTACTTTGATCAAATTTGAAGTAGAAAGAAAAACAAAGAAAATATAAAATTCCTACAGAAACAAGCATTAAAGCTACTAAATAAAAGAAAGCAGAAGAGAAAAATACATATAGTAAAATAGAAGAACAGAAGAAAAGCTAAAGAAAAATAGAAATATAGAAGAATTTTTAACTTTAGAACAAATGTCAAAAATTTTTTTTTAGAAATTTGGAGAATTAAACAAACTCTAAGATGCAGATTACTTGATATAGTACAAATACATGCAAATTAAGGTAAACAAAATGTGTTATAGGTAAATTTATATATTATATACTAAATAGTAGAAATAATATATACAAGACCAAAACTAGACAGCTTACTAGTAATTAGAAAAAGATACAGAGAATTAACAAAAAAAAGAGATCACTTTACAAATAGAATATAGAGCTAGGAAGTATTTAGAATAGAGCTAAAGCAACAAAATTAGTTGAAGTAGTTACAAAAGTATATAGCAAAGAAATAATAGCTAAAAGGAGTAATACTATAATAGGTCTTGAAGACTATATAGATAAATAATTGCAGAAATTTTAGAAGTAGATAGTAATATAGTAACAGTAATGAAAGAATAGAGAAAAGTAATAGAGAGAGTAGCAATAACAGAAGGAATTGATAAAGTAAAAATAGTATTAGGACAAAAAATCCAAAATATAATAGTAAGAAGAGATGAATTAATAATACAAGAGAGTGAGAGTAAATTAGATATAAAAATAGCAAACTAAATAAATCCTACAAAGATAGATAATAGTACAGGAGAAGAAAAAGCTTTTTTAGAAAATTAACTTCTAGTAAGCAAAAAGAGTAAAGAAGATTGCAGTTTTATAGAAGATATTAAAAAAATCTAAGATAAAGAGATCCTTAGACCAAGTACAAATTTCTACTCAGACATTACAGAAGAATCAGAAGATGATCTGATATTAGCTGAATTTGACTTCTCTCTTAAGAAAAGTATATGGGTATCAAGTAAAGATAGATGTGAAGGAAAAGAAAATATAAAAGCAAAAGTAGCAGCTATTAAAGTACTTAGAGATAATACAAGTCATAGAAAAAAATTTCTAAGATAGTTAATTAGAAGAAATATTCATCTCAAAGAAATATTTAAAAAATTTGAGTAAGATAATTTATAGTATACTCTAATCTTTGACTGTAAGAAAGATTATGAGAAGGCCAAAAGAAAACTAAAAAGCTAGAAAAAAAAATACAAGCAAGCTAAATTAATTTATGAAAATAATATAGAAGAAAACAAAACTATTTAATCTCTAGATAGTTAAAATAGAGAGAGTATTATTACAGATACAAAAGAAAAAATAGAAGAACAGATGAAAGTAGAGTTAGAAGAAGTTCTAACAAGAAGGAAAAAAAGAGATATAATTATCTCAGATTAATATGAATATGCAAATAAAGAAAATTCTATAGCCCAGCAAGATTCTAGTAGCTTAAACAAAACCAAAGAGAAAAACATGATAATAGTTTGGATTTGTCAAACTAGGCAAAATGAACTCAAGTTTTTGAGATAGTTCAGTTTATAGGAAGAGTAGAAAATATAGAGATAATCAAAAGTATATATAATAAAACAAAACAGAGATTGAGTTTAAAGCAGGTACTTATGATGAAAAGAAAATAAATAAGACTTGGTATCTGCTTTTTGTAAATTAGGTATTAGTAAAGGTAATAGTAGGTACTAACAATTTTGAATTACTTTGTATAAGAAATAGATTTGCAAAAGACTACTAGACCTACTAGAAAACTCAAATAAAGTACTGCTCTGAAGACAAGTCAAGAATTCTGAAGCCAAAGTATTACATATTTTCCAAAATATCAATAATAATAATATAAGTAGTATGATAGTATATTTTGAAAATTAAGAAGATATAATAAATATCTCTAGATTTTTGATATACTACTACAACAATAAGTTAAGATGAGCAAATACAAGAGGCTAAGAAGTAGAGCTACTAAAAAATCAGAGAGCTAAAGCCTTCAAAGAGAATAAAGTAGTTACAAAAAGAAGTAAAAAGAGCTTAGAAAAAAGAAATGACTTTGAACAAAAACAAGGTGAATGCACAAAATATATACAAAAAAGAGTATAAAGAAAAGAAAGTTATTAGCAAAAGGTTTTAATTAGTTTAGTATTAAAGGAGCATAAAGAAAACTAGAAGATATATAGAAAAGCTTAGACTACATCAAGTAATAGTAAAGAGGAAAGGTCTAAAATAGAAAAGAAAAGTAGTATTCAAAAGAAAATAAGAAGTAATGTGAGAGAAAATCTAAATAGACAAAGCTATCATATAAATCACAACAAGTTCTTAGATTATATAGCTCAATTAATATAAAACTTAGAAAGAAAAATTAGGAATCTGAAAGGTAAACTTCCAAATCACTTCTAACTTACGTATCAGTTGAATTAAAGGAAGCTTTACTTGTATAAAAAGGAAAATTTGTATAAGAAAATAAAGCAAAACAAAAGGTAAACCAGA